TTCATGCAGGGCTTGGGATGGAACCTGAGCTTTCACAAAGCTCTAGGTTCAATCCCAAGTACCATAAAAGCACAAAACAAAAAAGACAAGTTAGGAGGTAGTAAATTGGCTCTTTCCTTCCCAACCCTTAGAAGATTTCATTTAGTTCTAGTTTCCAGTAGATACCATCCTAGGGTTTTTTGTTGTTGTTGTTTTGTTTTGTTTTTGAGACAGGGTTTCTTTGTGTAACAGCCTTGGCTGTCCTGGAACTCAGTCTGTGGACCTGAGTTCCAGGCCTTGAACTCACAGACATCCTCCTGTCTCTGCCTCCTGAGTGCTGGGATTAAAGGCGTGCTCTACCACCGCCCAGCTTCCATCCTAGTTTTAAAGAGGAAGAGGGTGGGGGGAGAGCATCCATGGGCAGGAGTGGGGGACTCCAGGTGTGGGACAGACAGGACACTCCCAGTACTAAACTGAGTCATCTGGGGAGCCCCTCTTTGCCTGCTCCATTGTTGCTCTCTAAAGCACTTCCTAGGCTCCCTTCGTGGCCAATGGAAAGTTCACTGGGCCGTAGCAGTGGCCTTCCACAGGGGGATGATTCTGGCCGGACACAGAGTAGGGAGGCGCCATGACCTGTACCCAGCCTTGAAACCCTTACTGTAATTACGTTTAAAAAAAAAAAAAATCCCGAGGGAACCATGTTAGGTGTGGGAAATTTAAGAGAAATGGACAAGTGGACACGAAAATCTGAGCCCTGGCTTGCACTTTTGATGTTGAAGCCAGTGTTTTGTGTGTGCTTGTTGCCAAATGCTACCCTTGGCTCCATGACTGTGGCTAGGTTGGCAGGATAGGCAGTGATAGATGCCTACTCTGAGCTGATTCCTTCTGGGAGCAGTTTGGTCTTCTGCTCCTTCTCTGAGGCAGGCAGCTGGTCCTGAGTCAGGGAGGATGCAGGATGGGAACGGAGAGAAGCAGCTTTTGTGATGCTCTACAAAGGCTGTGGTAGGTGAAACAGAGGAATGTGTGGGGTGTCATCAGGGAGGCTTCCTGCAGGAGTTGGGCATCTGTTGGGTAGCATGTGGGGGAGTGTGTTGTGGGAGGGTGAGATGACTCCTTGGTCCCTGGTGCAGGGCTCACTTCACTGATCCTGAGAGCTCATGTTCATGAGCTTTGTTCATGTCTGCTGGCCCAGGTGCTGTTCTGGACAAGCCTAGATGCCGTTGAGCCCCTGTGCAGTTCCCAGCCCCTGCACCCCGCTTCTGTTAAGATTCTGTTCTTGCCTTTTCTAGATTGCCATGTGCTGCCTGTCGTGAGGTAACAAAAGTTGGTCTTCGGTGCCTGGATTATTTTTCTTCTTCGTATGATGTTTGTGACTCTTTTGTGGCAATGTGTCTTCCTCTATGGCACTGTTGCTAAATGCATTCCCATGGCACAGATCTACAGCGTTTTGCTCCTCTGTACTCAGTTGATGGGCATTAGTAGTGGTTTCAGACGCTGGCCATGTGAGTCCTGGGGCTATGGAGGGGGCGTCCTTCAGGCTTGTTCTCTGGTAGAGTCTTTTAAGGGGACATGCTGAGTCACATGGCCATCTGCTTACATTGGTTAGAAACTTCAGGACCTCTGGGCTTGTGGTGGGTCATGGTTTTCATCCCAGTGCTTGACAGGCAAAGCTGAAGTAGAACTATGAGTTCTCTTGGACTACATACTGAGTTCCTGGCCAGCCAGCACAACATAGCAAGACCTTGTCTCAATAAATACATAAATGTCAATCAAACAAACAAAATGATGGGACTGTTTTTTGAAGTCGCCACAGGACTTCACTTGGCCAGCTGTGTGAGAGCCTGGGAATTCCAGGGCCTTGATTATTCAGTCTTTGAAAATCTGTCACTGAAGATGAGTGAGCCCTGTCATCTTGTATCCTTGTTTGGATGCATACACGGCCTCATGTCTGTCTCCTGCTCATCTTTAAGCAGTTCTTTTGTGTGTGAAAACTTCATATTGAGCCATGGGATTTAGTACCTCTCTGGTAGGTCAGGATTTTTTTTTTTTTTTTTTTTTTTGGTTTTTCGAAACAGGGTTTCTCTGTGGCTTTGGAGGCTGTCCTGGAACTAGCTCTTGTAGACAAGGCTGGTCTTGAACTCACAGAGATCCAACTGCCTCTGCCTCTCGAGTGCTGGGATTAAAGGCGTGAGCCACCAATGCCCAGCTTGGTAGGTCAGGATTAAACAGGATAATACATGACAAATTCCTGCCTGTCAGGAGATCCCCCTATTGGCACCCCTCCACTGTGGGCCTCTGTCGCTCCACTGGCCCAGAAACAATGGTGTCAAGCCACCAGTGACTGAAACTACTGGACCTGTAGAACAGAATGAACCTGTCCCTTATGTCAGTTGATTACATCAGGTATTTTGTTATCCTAACAGCAGGTTCTTTACAGACCTATGCCAGTGAATTCCCCAAACAGCCTTGTTTCATGTCCACCGTCCAATCCTCCACCTTCAGGACGTCCCACAAGAGCCTAAGGGCCTCGGAACCCCACTCACAGCACTGCCATGCTGACCATGGTCGTCAGCAGTGCTATAATTATCAGTGCCACTGACCTTAGCAACTTTCAGATCCTCCATGTCACTGAGTAATAGGATGTCTACACATTTTAAAGGCCCGCTCAGTTTTCAAAGGATGCTGCCCACCCTAGCTGCTTGTTCTGCCAGCTGTGCACATCTGCATTGTCTGCTGGCTGTCCTTGCAGGTTACCAGCTGGGGCCTGTCATTGTCTACGAGCCCTAGGCAAGCAGGCGTAGAGGCAAAGGGTGGGAGGGGTAGAGCCTGTCCTGTGGGAATGGGCCTGGGCTTGGCCTGTGGCAGCTGTGGCCGGCAGTGGATTCATGCCCGTTTCCCTCTTTTCCTATGTGTTCCTTTCTCGGAGCTGTTTCCACTCACATTCCTTTGGCCCAGGCTGCTGGGAGGAGGCCTGGGAAACTTTAGCATGGAGCCTGGCAGCTGGAGGGGCTGGTGAAGAAGAGAGAGTTCTCTCTCTGTGGCCCATCATTTGGGGTCCACCGAGAAGCCCTGCTTTGTGAGCTACCTACTTTCCTATTGGGGAATATAAAGGTTCATTCTGTGTATCTTTGAGGGGTGGGGGATGGAGCAGTGTATCGAGAGTCAGGGAGATGGGCTCTTATACACAGGTGTGGGGCACTCACCAGGACTGTCATGAGGCTCCTGGGAGTTTTCAAGGATGCTGAGGCAAAAGAAAAGAGGGGGCCTTTTCTGTATGGGAGGAACTGTCAGCAGTTGGAGAAGATTCTAGAAGGGCAGAGGAGATGGTCAGTTTTTCTTGCGTCCCTAGGACAAGAGATAGCTCTGGGGAAGGACCCCCTGTTTACAGTGTTGGAAGGCACAGGGACAGTCTCTGGGTGCTGTGAGTTCCAAGTCAGGTCTAGGGTCCGTGGACTGACTTACCTGCCTTTGTGCTGACCCCATCACTCCACTGTTCAGATCTCTGGGTGTCACTGAAGCAATTAGAGGGTGGCGTGGGGCTGAGGGACAGGAGTGTGTGCTCAGGAGCAGACGGTACCCATGATTTGCATCTGGAAGAGTTGCCATGTTTTAGGCTGCATAGTGGGCTATCTACAAGTGTGAAAGGGTGTGGGGAGCTACCAGGATCCCCCCCCCCACAACCCATGGTAATATCTGTGCCATATGTGGTGCCTGTGGCCACAGGGTTTCTAGAAATTCCCATGATTCCCCTCTGCCATGTCTGTCACTCTCTGTGGGATGCCCAACCTCATTCTTCCTAGAAGACCCCAAGCCTTACGGCATCCTCCAGCTCTTCAACCATATCCCTTGAACTTTAACCTCAGGCTGGCAAGACCCGTTGCCTTCTAATCCAGGATGCCTAGCTTTCTGTGGCTGAGGAAGCAACGCTCCCTCTCCCGAAGGCTGACGATGCTGATCAGATGATGGTGTTGGGTTCTGTGGCTGCTGTTCTCTTTGGACACTTCATCTGATGGAAGCTCTCCTAGCTGGGATGTCTCTGGCCTTGTTCTAGGAAACTCGTGTGTAGAATGTCTTCCTGTGTCTGCCTTAGCAGAATGACCCAGAAGTGATGAGCATGGACTCAGTGCAAGGGGCACATGCGGGCCCATTCCCATCCAAGCCCTCTCTACCGAGCTTCATCTCCTACTCTCTGAGCCTAGAAGTCCTGAACCACCATCACCTCTGTGGGCAGCTCTCCTTTCCTGACGGTACCCCATGTTACCCCATGATAGGTGCTCTATAGCTGAGCTGCATCTCAGCCTCTCAGCCCTTCTTCTTCTTTTTTTTTTTTAAATTGTTTTCCTGAACATGCTCATTTTCTTTTTAAATTTTTATTTATTTTTACGTATATGGGTACTTTGCCTGCATGTATGTGTCTGTGCACTACGTGTGTGTATGGTGCTTATAGAGGCCAGAAGAGGGTGTCAAGTCCCCTGGGACTGTAGTCAGACAATTGTGAACTTCCATGTGGGTTCAGGAATTGAACCCGAGTCCTCTGGAAGGGCAGCAAGTGCTCTTAACCTCTGAGCCATCTCTCCAGCCCTTCTTAGTGGTCAGCTCAGCCTGCTCTCCCCACCACCCTCCGGGGTGCTGACTTGGTTTCCCAGGCCCCTTTCCTCAGCTTGGCTTCAGTTTCCTCCTTCGAGCACACAAGGGAACAGAGAAGTGCCCAGGAGGCCCTGGGAGAAGCCTCTCTCTCTCTCTCTAAGTAGCTGGAGCTGTGGGGTGGGGTGCCTTCCTGCCAAGCCCCAGGGTAATTACCATAAATTACTGTGCTCGGGATGAAGAAATCCACCCCACCCCTTACGTTTCTCTGTGTAGAACTCTCCCACAACTTCAGCAGAGCAAGGCGTGAAGGCAGGTGCCCCTGAGAGTCCGTGTCTGCAGCCACAGTAAGAGTTGTTTCTTCCTGGGTTTCCTGCCCCTCTGAATTGTGTGCCCTCTTACCTGTAGGTCTGGGGTCCTGAGGCCACTGGCAGACTATGGGTACAACGGCAAGCACAGCACAGCAGACAGTCTCGGCTGGCACCTCCTTGGAGGGCCTGCAAGGCAGCAGTACCATGGATGGCAGGCATTCACTCAGTGTGCAGCCCTTCCACACCACAAGCTTGCACAACAGCAAGGCCAAGTCCATCATCCCCAATAAGGTTGCCCCTGTTGTGATCACGTGAGTATCAGGGGACATGTGATCATGTTCCTGGAAGACATGGCCTCGGGGTGGGGGGACAGACCTTCGTACACTTAATGCTTACAGACTGCTTCCAGTTTTGTAGATTAAAAACACCAAGTCTTACCCAGAGAGGTTAAGCAGTATTTCTGGAACCACATAGCAAACAGGTATTAGGGTGGAGTGTCTAGGTCTGTGTTGCTTACCCAAGTGCATGGTTCTGGAAGCCTAGAGAAGGAAGACTGGCCAAAGGAACATCCTTTTTATACTCCCCCCCCCCCAGCGCCTCCCATTTAAAGACAGGGTCTCACTATGTAGCCTGAGCTGGCCTAGGACTTGTTGTGTAGACCAGGCTGTCCTAGGTGGATTGTAGAGATCCACCTGCCTCTGCCTCCTGAGTTCTGGGATTAAAGGCGTGTATCATGATGCCCCGAAGTAGCTGTTCCATTTTTCAGGGCCTTGGGCTGGAAAGCTGGAAGCTTGTTCTCCATGCTCCAGCTGGGGCCTTCAGGAACACTGACTGGGGAGACAGAGGTTTGCTCTTGTTAGTGTACTTTCAGCAACCTGGACACAGAAGCAATTCAGGAGGGCGGGGAGGGTGGACATCTGTGTGTGGATGAAGGAGTGGGTGCTTCTGGGAGGTAGAGACCGGAGAGTTCAGGGACTCTGGGGCTGTCTCCTGGGGAGCAGGAAGCATTGTTCTTCTCATCACCTGAACACCATGCTTCCTCATCTCTGGATCTTTCCGGAATGCAGGAAGAACGACATGGGGCTCTAAGAATTAAACATGTTCTACACACAGAAATGGCAGATACCTGAGAGATAGGGAAGCCGGTAGGTGGAGTGATCAGGCTGCTAGCCCTGGGGCTTGGCAGGAAGGCAGTAATTACCATAAATTACTGTGCTCGGGATGAAGAAATGTCATGCAAAAGTGACTTGACAGACAAGTGAAAGTTAGTTTGGATTGCTGGGTGGTATAGTGGCATAGGCCTTTAATTCCAGAATTTGGAGGCAGAGGCAAGTGGATCTCTGTAAGTTCAAGGCCGGACTGGTCAACATTGTTAATTCCAGTACAGCCGGGGCTACATTGTGAGACTTTTGTCTCGGAGGAAGGGAGGAAGGAAGGGAGGGAGGGAGGGAAAGGAAGAGAAAGGAAGGAAGACAGGCAGACAGAGAGAAAGAAAGAAAGAAAGAAAGAAAGAAAGAAAGAAAGAAAGAAAGAAAGAGAAAGAAAGAAAAAAGAAAGGAATGAAGGAAGAAAGGCAGGCAGGTAGTTTGGATGTTGAAGGTAGCCTTGGGAAAAGCAGGTCTGGAGCCTGGGCTCTGCCTCCCTGTTCTTTCTCTAGGAACTAGGTGGTGTGGCTCAGACAATTACTGGCTACCTGAAAATGTCCAGCAGGAATGGGCCGTGCTTGCAGCCCTCCTTAGGTTGCAGAATTTTTGAGGTGGAAGGGACCTTACAGATCATCCAGTAGAGGCACCAGCTTGCTACATCCTGCAGGCCAAATCTGGCCCACCACCTGCTGATGTTAATAAAGTTTTATTGGTCCACCGTTAGGCCCATCTTCCTGTACATCACATGTTGATACCTAGTGTTTCAGTGGCAGAATTGTAGCAGAACCTGCAAGACCCACAAAGCTAGAAATGTTTGTTTTTGGTCCTTTGCAGGAAAGGTTTGCAGAGCCCTGATCATGGCAGATAGATGTGAAAACTGAGATAGAAATGTGGATTTCAGGGAGCCAGAGGGCAGGCCACTATGAAGTGTTACCAAGGTAGAGGCTGAGCAGCAGCCAGGCCCCCTGCTTGTGCAGCTGTCTTCCACCCCACCCGTTCGCCCACTACTTTCCTGTAGGCTGCTGTTTTGTCTGGTGCCCCTGGCACAAGAGCCTGAACTCTGGCAGTCAGGTCTCTGCACTGGTACAGTGGCAGCGTGGCTGCGTGTCTTGAGCACACAGTCATCCTGCTTCAGTCATTGTGCCTTTACCTGGCTTACTGTCTGCAGAAATCATCATGGGCTTCTTTAAATTGCTGGTGTGTGGTCAGTTGTGGGTGATAATTAGGTCCTAGGAATCGGAACACCTGAAAACGGCCAGGGCTGAACTGCCCTCGACTCTAGGATTGGAAGAGTGGGGACTGTTCCAGTCACAGTCTGAGGGGTGGGCCATCCAGTGTCAACGTCTTAAGTCTCCAGACTAAACTGCCATAACAAAATATTGCCTATACAGGATGCTTGAATCAAGATGGATACTCACCTCTCATTTGGCTGTCTGGGCTGGTATGGCAGACCCTGACTATCCAGGCTCCCCCAGTGTCTTACCATAATTCCATCAGCATAGGCCTCTGTCTTTTGAGACAGCTGTTCCTCTTCTGCCAGGGGAAAAAAAGCAAAAGACATACTAGAAGGAATTCCCTTTGGGAGTGGTCTAGAATTTGCCCTGCCTCAGTCCCTGGCATCACATTGGCCAGAGCTTAATCACAGAGCCACGGCTAGCTGTAAGGGAGGCTGAGAAATGTAGTCTGCAATGGGGGTAGCCCCAGGTTGTCTTGGTCAGTTCTGGTGTTCTGTGTGTGAGGGTGAAGGGGCAGCTGCATGGGTAGGGGTGAGATGGCTTTGCTCTGGGTTCTGGTGACTGTAAGGGGCCAACAAAGGTTGTCTGACTCAGTTTTCACTGTGCCTCTGGCAGGTACAACTGCAAGGAGGAGTTCCAGATTCACGATGAGCTGCTCAAGGCCCATTACAGGATGGGCAGGCTCTCAGATGCCACCCCTGAGCACTACTTAGTGCAGGTGAGGGCAGCCCTACCCACCCCACCCTACCTCCTTACCCCATTCTATGCTCCTCAGTGTCAACCTTCTCTGTCTCTGAGTCCTTCTTTGGAACTCAGGGCATTCTACAACTGAGCCATGCCTCAGTCCTTCACTGGTGGTTCTAGGCAAGCATCCTACCTTTGAGTACTGTTTGGTACTGTTGTCCCATGAACAGTGGTAAGAACAGTGTAGGATTGACTAGACACTGGGTGACTGTCTGTCTGTGAGATAATCATTGTGGGAGTTTCTGGCTTGTCTGCGAGTACAGGTCTCACTCCTCGTCAGTCAGGCAGGGCTCATAGGAGATCACTCAGGGTTCTGGTTTGCCCAGGAATGAACTCTTGACCAGCCACTATTCTGGTCTTTTCTCTGTGGTCACTCTGTGTCAGTTCACTTAAGTCTGGAGTTTTGGAGCTGGTGGGATTTTAGGGAGGAGCCGGCCTAGTTATCTTCTGGCTCAATCCAGACATGACCCTCTTTCTACAAGCCTTGTTAAGAGCTTGGGGTGTCCTGTCATCCTCCAGGGGAGCTACAGTCCCTCTTTGGAGCTGGTTGTGGCTTGCAGTTCCAATCTCTGTTCTCTTCAAGGCCTGGCTGGCCCCAAGGCCACCTTCTATGTGGAGTCTTCTTTTTTTTTCCTGAACCAAACACCACTGCTGTCCCATGAACCTGCAGGACCATGTTTCCACCCCCACCCCAGTTCCTCCCTCCCTGCTCCCTAGAGCCCAGGACAGAGTTCTACCTGAGGAGAAACCCTTGCATCCTGGATTGATCTGCTGTGATTCTCTCTGCCAGGGCCGCTATTTCCTGGTGCGTGATGTCACCAAGAAGATGGACATGCTGGGCACCTTGGGGAGTTGTGGGGCTCCCAACTTCCGGCAGGTGCCGGGTGGGCTCCCTGTGTTTGGCATGGGACAACCCAGCCTCTTGGGATTCCGGAAGGTCCTGCAGAAACTCCAGAAGGACGGGCACAAGGTAAGCTTGCTATGTCCCAGGGTGGCCCTCGATGGCTCTGGAGTGGCTCACCTGGGGCTGGGGAAGGGTGTGTGGCCTTGGCAGAAACTGGAGAGTATTTATTGCATTGTCCTTTTGGGAAAGGGTGCCAAAGGTCAGAAGCCTCTTGTACACCCCACTCTTGAGTCTTGGAGGAAGTGAGAGGTGACAAGAGAGCCACTTTCCAACTCTAGAGACTGCCACATGATGGTCTTGGCTGACACCTAAATCTGTCAACTCTGTGATGAAGGGCCCTATTTTACAGAACAGGAAACTAAGGGCCTTAAAAGGAAAGTGACTTGTTCAAGGTCAGACTGCTCCCGGGTGGTGTCTGAAGGCTCAGACACAGGCAATTAGACCCTAAGTACCTGCTTTCAAACACTTTCTCTCACTTGCCTGAAGGAGGTGCGATAAGGCCAAGGTGTTGCCGGGATTCCAGGTTCCTCAGCCGTGGCAGTGACTGTATTGGCCTGAGATGAGTTCGAGTGGCAGAGTGAACAAGAATGGAGTGGGGGCTGTGTGCAGGTCCTGTCTTCCCAGCTTGACCCTAGCTCCCTGAAGATGGTTCTGCTGTAGCTCAGCCAATGGCTGACTGCTTGGTGGAGAGGCCAGTTTAGCCTTTCTTTAGCTGGTCTTTATCAGGCAATTGATTTACCCAGGACTCTGCCCTAGGTATTGTGGGCCATGGAAAGGACTAGAGTGTGATTCTGCCTGGGTGATGTGCAGTCCACCCAGAGAGAAAAAGACAGACCTACTGACATGTTAACAGGTTAAAATGCAACAGAACTTGCCTCAAAGACTGAAAAGACAGTCACCCCGAGAAGAGATTGGATTCTTGCTGACTGAGGAGAGTTTTGGGGCAGGTAGCAGTTAGATGGAACTTCATTTTCTTTAGGATTCCTGTTGAAGGGACTGGTCCAGTGCTTCACCCCGGATGAGGGGGGAACTATCTGAACAAAGGCCTAGAGGTTGGACAGGGGACGGGTGTCCGTGTAGCACAGGGACAATGTCTCTTTTTTTGGTTTTTCGAGACAGGGTTTCTCTGTGTAGCTTTGGACCCTATCCTGGCACTAGCTCTGGAGACCAGGCTGGCCTCAAACTCAGAGAGATCCGCCTGCCTCTGCCTTCCGAGTGCTGGGATTAAAGGCATGTGCCACTAACGCCCGGCGCAATGTCTTCTGTTTGACAGGAGTGTATCATCTTCTGTGTGCGGGAGGAGCCTGTGCTGTTCTTGCGTGCTGAGGAGGACTTCGTCTCCTACACACCTCGAGACAGGGAGAGCCTTCATGAGAACCTCAGGAGCCCTGGGCTGGGGGTCAAGGCTGAGAGCCTGGAGCTGGCCATCCGGAAAGAGGTGCGGGCCTGTGGGGTGATGTGATGGGAGAACTTCTCCCTAGCTGGTCTCCCTAGATGTCTGAGCCGAGACTCTAGCCTGCTTTCCAGACATGCCCCTGAAGCCGTTCTGGGTGTGGGAGACGCTCAGCCTTCACTGGCCCACACTCCCCTGCCCTGCTTGGGTGAGTGGTTGGCTGTGCAGTTGACCTCTTGTTCCCAGCTGGCCTATTTCTGTCCCTTTCTCACCATGCTCCTCCTTCACCCCCCAGTCCTGGTTTAGGGAGGGGTCTGGTCTGCTAAGAAGAGACCTAGGTTAGGATGCCCGAGGCTGAAGTTTGGCTACTCACTGGTCGCATGGGGCCCTAAGGAGTCATTTGCTGGGCCTGTCTCAGATTCTGGGGTATCCGCTTCTCTCCCATGGCACAGAGGCTTGGTGGGGGGCTCTGAGACAGATGACACACCACAGAGGTATATGAGTGGGATGTGGGGGTCACAGTGTTTCAGATGTATGTGGAGAAGTCCAGGCCCCACTGGGGACCAGCCTCTCCCTGCTTGGGGTCACAGTGTTTCAGATGTATGTGGAGAAGTCCAGGCCCCGCTTGGGACCGGCCTCTCCCTGCCTTTCTTACATCTGCTTCAGCTGGCTGAGCCTCACCCAACCTGGGATTCAGGTGGCCTCGTGTATTTCTGCTGCCCTCTGGGCAGAGCCCTCCAACTGACCTGCATGGAGGTCATGGTCAGTCCTGGCTGCCCTCAGGCTTGATCCCTGTAGGCAGGGCAGAGTGCCTCTTGCCATGTGGCCCCCCCTTTGAAGGAAAAGAAGCTTCTGTAAAGCCTCTGTGTGGCCCGGTCTCCAGAGCTGGGCAGGGACAATCAGGGAGGAAGCTCAGGCCATATCCCTCTGACTCTTGGATCTCACTCTAGATCCACGACTTTGCCCAGCTGAGAGAGAACACGTACCACGTGTACCACAACACAGAGGACCTGCGTGGGGAGCCGCATACCGTGGCCATCCGAGGTGAGGATGATGTGCACGTGACCGAGGAGGTGTATAAGCGACCGCTCTTCCTTCAGCCCACCTACAGGTACCTGGAGCTGATGTCCTCTCTGGGCTGGCTCTCCAGCTGCCACCTCAGTTCCCCCGTCTGCACATCAGGCCTGTGCTTGGGGATGAGGGCTTGAGATGCTGCTACTCGGAGTCGTTGCCCGGCTCATGGGCTGTTCTCTTCTCCTGGCAGGTATCACCGCCTCCCCCTGCCAGAACAAGGGGCCCCCCTGGAAGCCCAGTTTGATGCCTTTGTCAGTGTCCTCCGGGTAAGTGGGGCTGAGGGGAGTTTTGGGACTGGCAGGTAGGAAAAGATGCCACCCACTGGTTTCCATGGAGATGCCCAGGGTGGTTTGACCTCAGATTATTTCTATGGGAGGTTCGATCTATGATGTATATAGAGTCCAATATGTTGGGGCATGGGGTGGTGTCTACATCCTTATGTGTGCATGTATGTACCCTTCTGCAGTGTACCCGTATCTGTGTGTGCTCAGGTGCACTCGAGTACACATGCTACAATTCTCCGATGCCAGAGTGTAGCACTAATGCCTGAAGGACCCGGTTCTAGCCGTGGCTTGGCTGCACTCTCACTTGTGTGGTGTTGGAGGCTGTTCTTCCTCTCTAGACCTCTCCTTCCTCCCTTCAGTCAAGCTTGCCCCACAGGCTTGTTTGCTGATATTTACTGGGGGTGGGGGTGGGGGCTTCTGTCCCAACCCATTTTGGGATAGTGCCTTAATTTGTATTACATGGGGAGGGGCATCAGGTCAGTATAGGGCCTGGGACCCTGTGAGTAGCTCCTATTTCAGACCCCACGAGCTTCCTGGCCTGTTCTCTGAGTTCCCCTGAGGCTGGGCAGGGGCAGGAGCTGAGGCCCTGGGATCAGATGGATCAGATCTGGCTGTGGGCTTGACATCAGAGGCTGTGCTACTTGTCTGACCCCAGCTTGTTGCAGATGTCATGAGCTTGACTGGGGCTTCAGCCTCAAGGTTTTCCATCACGTTCTTGCCTGATCGTCATTCATGTTCCCTCCTGCAGGAGACCCCCGGCCTTCTGCGGCTCCGAGATAACCACGGGCTTCCCCCTGCCCTCCTGTTCAGCTGCCAGTCAGGTGTGGGCAGGACCAATGTGGGCATGGTCCTCGGTACCCTCGTGCTGTTTCACTACCGTAGAACCTCCTCCCAGCCAGAGTGAGTGGCAGGGGTCCAGCCAGGCAAGGGGTTGGATGGACAGGAGAGGAGAGGGTAAAGCCACCTCCAGGATGATGGGGCCACATCCAGAAGGCTGGGCATCATTGCCTCATTTGCCACAGATTTGCTTGGTGCCCTGGAGAGGCACCGGGCCCTTCTGGGCCTTCATTCCCCCAATGAAATTCAGAAGGAGCCTGCAATCTGATGCTTCCCAGTGGTGGCAGAGGGCTGCATGGCTGTCCCTCATCATACTCCTGACTCTCACCTTGTCAGGGCTGCCTCCTTGCTCACCAAACCCCTGCCCATGGAGCAGTTTCAGGTCATCCAAGGCTTCATCCGCATGGTGCCCCAGGGGAAGAAGATGGTGGAGGAGGTGAGTGAGGGGCTGGGCCAGGATTGGGGGGGTGCGTAGTTGCTCCTGTCACTGGTGTGTGTGTGGGGTGGGGTGGGTGGGTCTTTTCATCCCTCATACTCTTTCTCTCTGACAGTCCTCTCCCATTCTCTGTCCCCTGTTCTGGCCCTAGGTGGATCGAGCAGTCACTGCCTGTGCAGAGTTACATGACCTGAAGGAAGAGGTCCTGAAGAACCAGAGGAAGCTGGAAGGCATCAGGCCAGAGAGCCCAGTGCAGGTGAGGCCAGGAGTAGCATGCTGGACTCTGCCTGGGACTGGGATTTTTCAGCCTGATTGTTCCTGGCTGCTGCTTCTCCGTTAGTTTCTGGAGGGGGTGGTGTGGGCAGCTGGCTCAGCGGGGAAGGATGAGGAAGAGGAAGTTTATTTTTTCTGAGCAGGTCTCTTGGCTGCAGAATAAACAGCACGGACAGAGGGGCCTGCTGAGACCTCTGGACACAGACGATTCCCAGTTCATCACATTAGTCAGCTTCACGTTAGGGCGATGAAAACCTTGAAGCTGAGACAGTCAGCTCATAAAAAGGAAAGGCTAGCCAGGGCTGGTGCAGGCTGGTCATCCCCACACTGCTGCTGAGGCAGGGGTGGGGTAGGGACTGAGTTCAAGGGCAGCCTGGGTGTGTTTCAGGTCAGCAAAGAGAGAAGGGGTAGGGAGAAGGGGAGGGGAGGAGAGGGGAGAGCACGCCCATAGCTCATTAGCTCTGTTCTTTGGCCGGCACGTATGGTGGGACAGCACTTCTCTCTCATCAGGGGACAGGGGACAAAAAAGATAAGAAGAAGCAGTCAGCATCCTGCAGTTTCCTTTTAGAGCACATCTCTAATGACCTAAAGCACTCCTGCTAGGCTCTGCCCTTCTCTCAGTGTCACCCCAGGACCCACCTTTAATTCAGGGGCTTTTAGGGCACTCTGGGGAATTCATACAGGAGCTCTTCCTACAAAGGTGCCATCTAGGGCTTCCCTGGGAAGAGCAGGCTGTGTTCATCCCACGGCTTCAGGAGGAGTACTAAGCTGGCTGGCAGTTCTGGTCCCTAGCTCCAGGGAGAAGAGGGGGCTGACAGTGTGTACGGCGTACGGAAAGAATCTAAGCCCTTACAACCTTTTCTTTCTTTAACACACACACACACACACACACACACACACACACACACACACACACACACACACACACACAGAGTCCTTGAGAGCAGCATTCTATGATGGGAAAACTGAGAAATCAGAACCAGGAAAAGCAATGGCACCTCACTTGGGCAGCTGCCCAGGCATGCTTTTTTTTTTTTTTTTTTTTTGGTTTTTCGAGACAGGGTTTCTCTGTCTAGCTTTGGAGTCTATCCTGGCACTTGCTCTGGAGACTAGGCTGGCCTCGAACTCACAGAGATCCTCCTGCCTCTGCCTCCCGAGTGCTGGGATTAAAGGCGTGCACCACCAACTCCCGGCTCCAGGCATGCTTTTTAATTGTGTGGTTTTTTGTTTGTTTGTTTGTGATTCTATATGTAACCTTCCATGCTTCTAGCTTTAATGTGAATCCATGGATTTTGTCATTGAGAAGATTTTTAATGACTTTGTCTCTTAAACTCATGGCCAGGTCAACCTGTATTAGCCTAATGAGTCAGAATGGGGGGCTCCCGGTCCAGCTACCTGCTCATAGTTCTAGTGTCACTTACAGGGGTGGGGACTTGGGCATGTGCTGTGCCTTCATTGCCCCGTTTGTGGAGTAGGGCAAGTGATGATAAGCAGCTGGTAGGACTGTTGGGGTCCTGTGAGCAAAGATGCTTGGAACACTTAGAAGAGGGCTGAATGTCACCTGCTACTGTCACCAGACAGGCCCCAGTTGTTGACACTTGAGCTGCTTCAGGACCCCATCCTGTAATTGCTTTTGTCTGGAGTGGCTTCATCTTGTGTTAACATTATCTGGGTTCCCCTCTTGCATCTGCAGTGGGAGGGTGTCATCAGAGCCCAGTGTTATCCTCTAGTCTGGACCAGGAGGCAGGGGCCATCAGAGCTGGGCTCAGGGCCCAGGGCTCATGCTCCATCTTCGTTTTGCTGGTGTCCTCTCATGGCTGACTCATGTCACTGGCAGAGTTATCATGCTTCCATGGCAACATAGAGGTGTGACTGAGACTGTGCCCCCCCCCCCCCAACATCTAGTATACTCACTCTCCAGTTTTCTATAGAAAAGGCTGCATAGTCCCTGGAGGTGCAGATTCCCAAAAGTGGGGGTTGGGTGGGGTGGGGCCCAGCTTTACCATAGGCTCTGACTCTTCTCTCAGGCCAATTCAATTCAGATGTCACTTGCTTTTTAGGTTACTGACCTGGCTGGAGAACCATGACATTTGGAGGTCAAGGGGTGGGACTCATGGGCTCTCTTGGATACCCCAATGCCTGGAGGAGGTGGGGCTGGGGTTAGGGGAGAGGGGCCTTGTCAGCTGAATTGAGAGAGAGAGAGAGAGAGGCAGAGACAGAGACAGAGAGAGAGAGAGAGAGAGAGAGAGAGGAGTTCCTAGTTCATTTCTTTCTTTCTTTGGTTTTTCGAGACAGGGTTTCTCTGTGGCTTTGGAGGCTGTCCTGGAACTAGCTCTTGTAGACCAGGCTGGTCTCGAACTCACAGAGATCCACCTGCCTCTGCCTCTTGAGTGCTGGGATTAAAGGCGTGCCTCTGGCTGTCCTGGAACTCACTCTGTAGCCCAGGCTGGCCTTGAACTTACAGAGATCCCCCTGCCTCTGCCCTTTTTTTTTTTTAAAGATTTTATTTATTTATTATGTATACAACATTCTGCTTCCATATATATCTGCACACAAGACGAGGGCACCAGATCTCATAACGGATGGTTGTGAGCCACCGTGTGGTTGTTGGGAATTTAACTCAGGACCTCTGGAAGATCAGTCGGTGCTCTTAACCTCTGAGCCATCTCTCCAGCCCGTGTTCCTGGTTCTTAAAGGAGGGCCTCCCTCAAGAAAGGGAAAGGATGTTTGTGGCGGCTTCTGTGACACAGGGAAAATGGAACATGACATGGGGAGTCATCGTCCTGTTGTCTACTCCTCACCTTTGTCCCCTGTCCCAGGGATGAAAACTGTCATGGAGCTAGCGAGTGTCTGCTGGGAGTTTCTCCTCTTCTACACACAGCTAGGTGCAGCCCCATGTTTAACACCTCATTTCTCCCTTCCCGTCCTTAGGAAAGGGATAGCCAGCATGCTGTCCAGCAGAGGGCGCTGTGGAGCCTGGAGCTGTACTTCTACCTGGTCCTATTTAACTACTATCTGCATGAGCAGGTGGGGCTGAGGGCGCACCGGTCCTCCCACCCCAGCAACCAGGGACCCCACGGGATGGGGAATAGAGTGGTATTGTGTGTGTTGGTCCCTGAGGAAGGTTGGGAGGGGTAAGAAGGGATCCAGATGAGTGTTGTTTCTGCCTCCACCCCGTGTCCCCTTTTCCTTCCCAAGCTAGGCCTAGACTCTGTCTTGGTTTGGGCAGCAAACATCTTGGTCCTCCCTCACCTACTTGTTTTCCTCCATGGAGCACAATGGTACTTTTTGGGGTTCCCTTTCTGTGGCTAGGCAAGGAGGGCTCTAGATGTCCCCACACCCCTCATTGCCCCGTCTCTTGGCCTCGGGCTGCAGTACCCCCTGGCCTTTGCCCTCAGTTTCAGTCGTTGGCTGTGTACCCACCCTGAGCTGTACCGTCTGCCTGTGATGCTGAGTCCAGTGGGGCCCATGACCCCTGGGGACCTCATCGCCAAGGGCTCCCTGGTGAGTAGCTACCTACTCCATCTGTGGAGTGGGCTGGGCTGAGGGATTCTAGATTCCTATCGGGCTGGGGAAGTACTGCCAGGGGCCTCCTAGGCTTCTCCGTGAATAGAATGTACCATGTTCTGGCTACTGTTCTAGCACCTTCTGCTTAGTCTCAAAGCCCAGAGCCTGTAGGACATCTGAGCTGGAGCTCTCTGGAGGGTGTGTGCCATTGCATGCCTGCCAGGATACCAGTAAGGCTGCCGGTGTCCAGCCATGTATGCCCTGCACCCTGCAGGGCACTGTTTCCACCCCACACTTGCCCCACTGAGGCTGGATATGGTTGGTGACTATGGACTTCAGGCGTGGTGTCCTCCCCACAGGAAGCAGATGATCTTGTTTCCCCGGACGAGCTCAGCACCGTCAGAGAGATGGATGTAGCCAACTTCCGGCGTGTACCTCGCATGCCTATCTATGGCACCGCCCAGCCCAGTGCCAAGGTGCCTGCCGATCCCAGGTCCAGGTCCAAACATGGGGACAGGGGAAAGGCTAGCCCCGGCCCTGACAACCCCTCGTCCCCCAGGCCCTAGGCAGCATCCTGGCCTACCTGTCTGATGCCAAGAGGAAGCTACGACAGGTGGTCTGGATCAACCTGAGGGAGGAGATTGTACTGGAGTGTGATGGGCACATACACAGCCTATGGCCACCCGGACCAACCCTGGCCCCTGAGCAGCTGGAAGTAAGGTTTCTGGCTTTTTGCACGGTCTGCATGGGAAGCACTCGGGAGAAAAGGGGGGTGGGTGAGGGAGAGAGCCAGAGGGCCCTGCGTTCCTCTGTGTGAATGGAGCAGCTGGGGCTCAGGAAGGGATGTTTCAGGCAGCTGCTGTTTCAGGCCTTCTGTTCCTTTGTTCCCATGTCCCCATACTTCTGTGGCTTTTCCGCCTCTGGGGTGGTTCTGACCTGAGGCTGTGGCTGGGAAGCCAGCACTAGTCATGGCTCCATCAGGCTCCTGCCTCTCAGGCCTGTCTCAGTGGCCTCTGCCCTCTGTCCTGCTCCTGTACAGGCCCTGGAGGCCCAGCTAAAGACCCACCTGAGTGCTCCTGCCCCCGACACAAAGAAGAACCCTACCACCCCCAGGTTCCAGAAGTGTCTGACCACACAGGAGGTCTTCAGCCAGCACCAGGGGTCCTGCCTTGGCCTTACCTACCACCGTATTCCTGTGCCAGACTTCTGCGCCCCCCGGGAGGAGGTGAGGGGCCAGGCCTCTGGGGACCAGATCTCTCTTCCTCTTCTTAGGCCTGAGAAAAGCAGCTCAATTCCATAATGGAGCCAGGGATTGTCTAATGGGGTCCATATGTGGCCTCAGAAGCATGTTCCCATCTTTTCTGTGTGTGCGCGTGCGCGTGCGCGTGCACGTACGCGTGTGTGTGTGTGTGTGTGTGTGTGTGTGTGTGTGTGATGTGTTGAAGGCATGTGTTGCAGAGAAGAGAGTGTGCTCACATGTCTGTTGGAGGGATATGATACATAGTGCCCTGGTGGTGTGGGGTGTAGGTTCTCATGGAGTTCATGGCATCTGTCTTGTGTTTGGGCTGTGTGTAGATGGTGCATCCATGGGGGCGGGTGCTCATGGAGAAAACCCTGTGGAATTGGGCTGTGTGACTGAGTGGGATTCATGTGGTAACTTGTGGTAGCTGACAGATGTATGTTTGCAGCCATCTGTGTGGTTCGTCTTTCAGGAACCGGTACCTCTGTGGGCTGTGTGTGCCTGTGGATAGTGTCAGTGTTGTTTGCTTTTGCCCACTGTCTGTGCGCTCACAGCCTATGGAGTGCTGCCCCCTAGTGGCTGCTCTCCAATTGTTTGGATGCACTCAGACAGGACCTGGTTCTCAGGCAGGGCACCAGGCTAGAAAACATCTGTGCCTTACCTGCCAGGTGGCGTACTGAGTCCCAGAAGTGTGCTGTGTCTGCTCATGTGCCCGGTCCTTTTCACACACATGTGGGCTTGTGTATAAACCTAGTGAGCTCTGTGTGTGCACATGGACAAGGTTGTGTGTATGATGGGGCACATGGAAACAGAAAATGGGGTTGCCATTTGGATGGGGGTCACCAGTGTGAGTCTGGGCAGCCAGTGTCACCCCTGGACTCAGACTGTGGTCTTGCCACTCAGGACTTTGACCGGCTGTTTGAGGCCCTGCGGGCTGCTCTCACCAAGGACCCAGGCACAGGCTTTGTCTTCAGCTGCCTTAGCGGACAGGGCCGGACTACAACTGCCATGGTGGTGGCTGTGCTGGCCTGCTGGCACATCGGGGTAGGTGTGGCCTTCTGAGTGAGGTCAGAGATTATCCCAGGCAAGGGTGGGGACTGGCTGTGGCTAGTGTGGAGGGACAGAGGTCATGCCTGATGTCATCCTTGGACCCCTTCCATCAGTCCTGGCAGACCTCCAGCAGGGCTTCAGGGTGTAGGGATGGTATAGAAGAGGGAGATGCTCCATCTATCTCTGTCATCCTTCAGGGCTGCCCCGAGGTGGGTGAGGAGGAACTAGTGAGCGTGCCTGATGCCAAGTTCACCAAGGGCGAGTTTCAGGTGGGTATGTCCCCTGGGTCCCTGGGAGTGCTATGCAGCCTGGAATCTTGGGTCTTGCTGGCAGATTAGTGAGAATGGGGCTGGCTTTCTGCTTCCAAGATGGACAGACTATGGCTCAGAACAGTTTAACTCTTAAGCCTCTGCAAATGGCCATAGTAATAGGAGCTGGATCCTTCCCTACCTGGCCGGGGTGCTGGGTTCTTCATAGTATTGTTGATAACTACCTCACAGTTTCTTGAGATTCAGCTGTGGTTGGTACCCAGTGCAGGACTGCAACCCACTCTGTCCCTCCCCTTACTTCAGGCTAGGGACCCTGGATGGGCAGCCATTAACATTTCAGATCCAGTCATCATATAGCATGCACCTACTACATGCCATGTGGCGTATCAGACGTGTGACATCTCTTTGAACACTTGGCCTATAGCTGACCAGTGGCTGGAATTACCATTAATTCCTGTCTAACCTGGTAACTGTGCCACGTGCTCTGCTGGCAGTCCTACTGCCCTGCCCTCTTTGAGAGGTCAAGACTGCCAGTCACATGTGCCTCTAGGCCTTTGGGTGTGCTGCTCTTTAGACAATGTCTTTCTTTTATGGTAAATGCTCAGATTCTTTTTCTTTTCTTAGTGTGACAAAATATACCAACAGAAATCAAATCCGAAGCCAGTCTGGTCTACATAGCAATTTTCAGGCCAGCTGGGGCTACACAGTGAAATCTTGTTTCGAATAAATAAGTGTAGCTCAGTGGTGGAGTGTTTGCCTAGCATGTTCAAGACCCTGGACTGGATCCCTGTCACTGCAAAAAATAAGTTAGAGTGCTTGTTGAGCACGTGCGGAGTCCTGGGTTTAAGCCCAGCACCACAGATCCTGAGTGGGAGTGGTAGCTCATGCCTGGAATCCAGCTTTTGGGTGGTAGAGGCAGGAGGATCAGGAGTTCGAGATCATTCTCTGCTGTAGAGTGAGTCTGAGAACTGCCCGGAACATGTAAAGATCCCGTCTCTTTACACGGGCGTGGGGTGGGGGATAGGGGTGGTGGTGTCAGTGGGTAAAATGCTTGTCCAACAATTAAAACATAAAGAATAAGATGAATCTTTGTAAGGAACCTTACCTGGGCTTTTGATATACTCTGAGCATTTCAAACCATTAGTCCTTCCTGTGGTTTGCTGGCATTGTCTCCCCAGCTCTCCCATCATCTCCCTGGCTCTCCCATTACCTCCCTGGCTCTCCTATCATCTCCCTGGCTCTCCTCTCATCTCCCTGTCTCTCTCACCATCTCCCCAACTCTCCTATCATCTCTCTGACTCCCTGTCAGCACTATATGCGCTTTATGTTATAGGAGCCTGGCTTTCCCAGTTCTGCAGTTAATATGTCTGTTTCACAAAACTGTAACTGTGACAGGACAGGCAGAGGTGACATGAAAGTTTGGAAGTTAGTACTTGATACCCACTTTTTTTTTTTAAGTTTTTTTGAGACAGAGTTTCTCTGTGTAGCTTTGGAGGCTGCCCTGAACTAGCTCTTGTAGACCAAGCTGATCTAGAGATCTGCCTGCCTCTACCTCCCTAGTGCTGGGATTAAAGGCATGCGCCACCATTGCCTGGCAATACCCACTTTTTAAAAGATTTTTTTTTTTTGACAGGATCTCACTATGTAGCTCTGTCTGTCCTGAATTCATTCTGTAGACCAGGTTGGTCTTGAATTCAGAGATCTGCCTGCCTCTGCCTTCTGATTTCAGGGACTAATGTTGTCCACTACTACGCTCAGCAAAAGTTTTTTTTTTTTTTTTTTTTTGTTTTTTCGGAAAGGGTTTTTTTTTGTAGTTTTGGAGCCTTTCCTGGCACTTGCTCTGGAGACCAGGCTGGCCTTGAACTCGCAGAGACTCACCTGCCTCTGCTTCCTGAGTGCTGGGATTAAAGGCGTGCACCACCAATGCCCGGCTAAGATTTTATTTTTAATTTTGTGTACCTGTGTGTCTCTGAGGGTATGTCCACATGAGTGCAGGTGCTTGTGGAGGCCAGAAGAGGGCGCTGGATTCTCTGGAACTGGAGTTACAGGCTGTTGTGAGGCACCTGATGCGCTGAACTTGGGTCCTCTGTAAGAACAATCCATGCTCTTAACAGCTGAGCCATCTGTTTACCCTCATATCCTCTTAAAGAATTATTTTTGTTAACTTTGGGTGTGATGCCTCAGGATCTGGATTTAATAATAATAATAATAGTAATAATAATAATATCGTCATCATTATTGTTATTATTATTATTATTTGAGACAGGGTCTCCTGGCCTGGAACTCTCCGATTCAGCTAAACTGGTTGACTGACAAACCTTAGGGATCTACCTGTCTCTGCTCCCTGCCCTCTGCCATTGCTAGAGGTACAGACATGTGCCACTCTGCCTGGCCTTTTACATAGGTTCTTGGAATAGAGCGCCGCTCTTCAACCTTGAGCAGCAAGTGAATTGTCTCCCCAGGCCCTTGCTATTCTCTTAAGGCTAGAAAGTCAATGAAATGACCTAAAGAGATGAAAACATTAGGCTTCTTAGAATTTTTGATATGCACATTAAGAATGGTGGGTTCAGGGCTCATTGTTCAAGCATGAGGACCTGAGTTGCAATAGTCGGACCTATATAAAGCCAGGCATGGCTATGTGCATGTGTAACCCCAGCACTGTGCGGAGCAGAGAGAAGAAGGGGATCATGGGGCTTGCTGGAGGCCAGCCTAGGCCCAGGTTCAGTGAGAGACCCTGTCTCAAAGCAATAAGGTGGAGAGAGAGCGGGACACTCAACTTCTTCCGGTGGCCTCCACGTGTGCACAGGTCAATGCAACCGTACACACATGCACTCTGATACATCATATGCATTCACACACGTCACACATACGTGCACACTTAACACATACACAGCAGGCGATATATGCATCGAAATGTACATGTACAGGTCTTCCGAACAACTCACACAATCTTACCTGTGAATGAAAAAAGCGTGGGTGTGTGACCTGAGCAATACCACATCCCCTTACTGCCCTAAGCCTGAGAAGAGAGCGAGCAGGAGGGCTCAGGGCTGAGGATCCCCCTTGGCTTTCCATCCACTCACCCCTGCTCTGGCCCCAGGTGGTGATGAAGGTGGTACAGCTGCTGCCGGACGGCCACCATGTGAAGAAGGAGGTGGACGCGGCCCTGGACACTGTCAGCGAGACCATGACGCCCATGCACTACCATCTCCGGGAAATCATTATTTGCACGTACCGGCAGGGGAGTCCCGCCCGCCTGGGCTCCTGGCTCTGCAGGATGGGCTGTGGCTCACGTGGTGGGGCTGAGGGTGTGGAGATCGGCGGTGCAGGTTTGAGGTGGCAGCAGGTCTAGTGGGTCCTTTTTGTTCCTCTTTTTTTTTTTTTTTGGTTTTTCGAGACAGGCTTTCTCTGTGGCTTTGGAGGCTGTCATGGCACTCGCTCAGGCGACCAGGCTGGTCTCGAGCTCACAGAGATCCACCTGCCTCTGCCTCCTGAGTGCTGGGATTAATGCACCACCAACGCCCGACTAGGCCCTTCTTTTTTTTGGACACTTTCCCACCTCTTAGAAGGGAATGTGGACCTAGAAACAGAAATGTCAGCAGCCCCAAGCCACTGTCACCTGATCTGGGATAACCTGCTGTGGGAGGGACCAAGAGGAACACCTGAGACCCCAGTGGGGTGGAGCAGGATTCTGGTATGTGACCCTGGGGGTGGCCGTGTGACTGACAGTCAGCGGGGACAAAGCTGAGTACTGCATGGTGCCGCTGCTATACCCCTGGACAGGTTTGTCTACACCATTTGGGGTCTGGATCTGGTCCCTGTTTAGTGTTTTTATTTTTGATCTGCTCACTTAAATATTATTTTATCTTACATATTTTACTTATTTTTGTGCACACGAGTGTGGGGGTCAGGGACAACTTGTAGGAGCTGGTTCCCTCCTGCCACCATGTAGAACCTGGGGAATGGTTTCAGGCGGCTAGCCTTGGTGGAAGTCGCCTTTACCAGAGCCATATTGCCAGTCCTCCCAAATTATTTTTTAATAACCCACTAAATTATAAAGATAAGGTCTTCAGAGTGTTTCAGATAAATGTATGAATCTGGGGCTTTCAGATGTTTATAAAGAGTACGCCCCCGGATCTGCTCTGGTCCCCCTTCTCTGACTGTCATAGCACTTGAGGGCTAGGCAGGTGATGGAGTTTGCAGCTTCGGGACTCTGGAGTGTGGGAACTTGCTTCTCAGCCTGGTAGCAGGTGGGTAGGCGCAGTGCTGCATGGTACCGAGAGGTGGCAGTATATGCCATGGCGGGGTGATTTCCAGGGCAGCTTCTGCCTGTGTCTTGTAAGAGGAGGCTTTGTCAGGCCACTTGTTCAGCCTCAAGCTGGGGACACATGACCAGAATGATCCAGAACAGCCTTGGCTTGTGGCCAAGGGGTTAGATCCTGACTGGGTCGGCATGTTGGCCCCTGTGTGGAGGCAGGCAAGGTGTGTGGGGTAAGCCTAGGGAAAAGTTCAGACTAAGAAGTTGACACATTATGGGGAGGAGATGGTGCATCTGGAGCTTCCAAAATGGAGTTGGCACACTGTACCTGTGATTAGGCACCCGTCTCCAGGTTCCTAGGAGTTGGTTATCCTTGTGTCTGGTAGTGCCTTAGGGCTTTCAGGATGACTGAAAACAACTTGAGGAGGATGGGGTTTGTCTTATATTACAGTTTCTAGCCCATCATCCAGGAAAGCCAGGGCAGGACTCTGGAGGCAGGAACTGATGCAGACACCATGGAAGAACGCTGTTTACTGACTTGCTCCTCATGGCTTGCTCAGCCTGTTCGCTTATACAATTCAGGACTACCTGCTCAGGGGTGGAACCACACTCAATAAGCTGGGTCCTCCCCCATCAATCATCAATCAAGAAAATGTACCACAGGCTTGCCCACAGGCCAATCTGGTGGGGACATTTTCTCACTTGAGGTTCCCTCTTCTTAAATGGCACCAGCTTGTATCAGGTTAGCAGAAAACTAGCCAGCACACACTCACTGCCACTATTCAGAGTCTCCCTCCAGAGCCCGAGAGTCGAGGCCTCTAGGTTATGGCAGTGGAAAGGGGGTGCTTAGGCCTGCTTCAGAGGATGTGGGCCAGGCCCTGTTGGAGCCCCCTTCTCTCCATCCCAACTCCAAAGCTCACAGGCCCTCGCTTCCTTGGGACTCTGTACCCGTGTGTCCACTGTAAGGACAGAGAGAGAGCAGGCAGCATAGGGGGCCTGGGCTGCAAGAAGAAGCTAGGAGTTGGCCTCAAATAGCCCAAGAGGAGTCACTGCAGGCCTCCAGGGCCACATGGGCAAAGGCCAGGAGGCCTAAGGGTTCCTAGTGGGTTTGGAGGCACCGAAGACCATTTGGTAGCACAGTGTTGTCAGCAGTCACCAGACGTGAGATTGGCTTTACTCCTGGGGAGTGAGGTGGCAGGGATGGAGGTGGGGGACAGAGCTGTATTTTAGGGACAGTAGCTTGGCTGCCTTCACAGTGGAATGTTAATGGAGGACGCCAAACAAATAGGGCCCCTTCCCACCTCCCCACCAGGATACCCCTCATATTCCCAAGGCCAAGTTTCTGCAGGAGATGGAATCTCCCATCCCAGTGTCCCTGCAGAGGCCAGGAGCTAGATGCAGTTATTCACAAGTGTGGCCACCAGATGGCCCCGGTGAGCT